CTATAAAATGGTTATTAGACCATCGATGTTGTATGGAATGGAGCGTTGGGCAACCAAGAAATAACATATAGATAAGATGAGTGTTGCTGAGATGAGGATGCTAAGATGGATGTGTGACAAGACTAGAAAAGACAGAATTAGGAATGAGTATTTTCAGGAATGGGTAAAAGGAGCACCGATAGAAGATAAGTTGAGAGATAATAGATTGAGATAGTTTGATCATATTCAATGGAGACCAACAAAGGTAGTAGTAAAAAAATGCGATACAATGACAGTAGATGGAAGTGTTAGGGGACGGGATAGACCTAGATCGACGTTGGCTAGCGTAGTAAATAAAGATATGAATCCACTTAATTTGACTAATGAAATGACCTTTGATTTAGGCGCATAGAGAAGAATGATTTATGCAGCCTACCCCATTTGATGGGACTCAAGGCTTGGTTTGGCTTGGTTTTGGCTATGTTGTACCATTGTTGCTTGCATAAGTTGTTGTTGCAGTTGGGCTATTGTGTGATTGTATTGATTTAAATTTTGGGAACGAAATTTCTTAAGGGGGAAGATCATGACGGTTCCGTTTTAGACCCGACCTTTTCCATGTTTTTAGATTCAGAATTTTGTATCTTTAATTGTTGTTTATACCATTTTCATCTTGTTATAGTTTAGTTTGTTTGTTTGGAGATGTTGGTTGTGTTTGGAACAGGTTGGGTGTTAATTTTTCAAAAGAGTTTTTATCCATTTCCTTCTTTGTTCGCTCAAACGGTGCTTTGGTCTCTCGAGCAGTCTTTGAGATCTCCCAATATTTTTACAGGTCTATAAAACTTCTAGGAGTAGGGTGATCTTCGCTCGAGCGATCCTTTCTTCGCTCATGCGATCTTCTGCAATTTGCAAAACTTCTAAGAGGGGATCATTGTGTGCTCGAGAGCGGTGTCAATTATTTGTGTTTGATACTCGAGCGGTGGTTTGGTCGCTCGAGTGGTCTGCGCATATATCAGACCGGGGAAAAGCAATTTTTAGTCACTTTTTCATTCCTCTGTCTCTCTAAAACATTTCTAAACCTAATTTCTTCACTCTCTCTCTCTCTCTCTGTAGTTCTTGCCTAAACACCTCAAATACACCTAAATCCGTTGATTTCGCCGCTGTTGTGCTTTAGAGAAAAAGGTAGAGCTCGTTAAGTAGAACATTTTAATCGGTGAAAACTTTCATTTTGACTTCATCTCAAGTTAGGGCCTGCTCTCTTCTTCTTCTAAACTTGAGGTAGAGATTTCTTCAACCTTTTAGTATGATTCTAAACCTAGTTATGTGCTCCTCGTTAAGTATTGGGATTTAGGAGATGGGGGTTTTGATTTAGGGTTTGATTTTTGAAATGCAAAAGAGGAATTTTCAAATGTGTTCTTGAGAAATGTTGTGGGACTATGAATATTGTTGAGTTGTATTGAAATGTTACAAATTCCTTCCTTAAATGTGCTTTTGAAAGTAAAAGATGTTTTATTGGAAAATCATTAATGTTTGATTTATAAAAGAAAAGGAAAAGATGTTGGGTTTGAAAAGATAAGATGAATGTATCTATTGATGATGAGAGTGGAGTTGGATATATATTATCACTTCCATTTTAAAATTTATGAGATTATACCTGTTGTTAAAAATTTATCTGTTGAGTAGAGATATCTGTTTTGGGTCATCGGTGGAGGATAACTTTAATTGTTGTAGAACTTGCATGAGGATTATTAAATTAATTGAAACAAATTGCTCATACATCTTGCATTGAGCATTGTTTCATACTTAAACATCAAAAATATATTGTTTGAGAAAAAGGAGAGTATACCTTGGTGAATCTAGTTAGGGGGTATGGTTGTGGTTTATATTGTTGGCTTGTGTCTCTTTGGTAAAAGTCCAAAAACCTGCGCAGTTAGGTCCCAATCCTTCAAGTTAGCACAGATAAAATGACTTTGGTAGTGCTTGTATAGTCTACTGGCAAACATATACTTAGAGATTCTAGTGTTTTGTATTCACTGCCCTATTTTCTGATTTAAAAAGTATTATTTTTTGAATTGATATACATATAACTGAGACATTGCATTGTTTTGAAAGAGAAAGTATAATATTTGGCAAATGACATGCACATACATTCACCATATGACTTTGTTAATCTTCATACATTGTGTTTAAGTACTTCTACTAAAATAACTTTGGTAGTGTTTGTATAGTCTACTGGCAAATATATACTTAGAGATTCTAGTGTTTTGTATTCACTGCCCTATTTTCTGATTTAAAAAGTATTATTTTTTGAATTGATATACATATAACTGAGACATTGCATTGTTTTGAAAGAGAAAGTATAATATTTGGCAAATGACATGCACATACATTCACCATATGACTTTGTTAATCTTCATACATTGTGTTTAAGTACTTCTACTAGGCTTTAGCTCACCCTATGTGAAAAACAAATTTTAGGTGCTCATTTTTTTTTTTTTTTGATCGGCAAAGAAAATTTTCATTTAACAGCATGAAATTAAGAGCACAGGAAGATGACATGCATCGATAGAGATTCGGAAGTACAAAATACCCCTACTACTGCTACTCGCATCCATACAACCAACCCCTAAGCCTCTCGATTTTTTTTTCTAAAAATACATACAAAAACAAATTTTAGGTGCTCATGATATACATCCACCAAGGACGTAACTTAGAAGAACTTGGAGACGAGAGTTTTTTTTGTTTCTTTTGTGCAATTATTTTTGTACAAACCTTAGACTTTCTATGTATTGAGTTTAATTTACTTTTGTTATACCCAAGAATTGACTTAGAAAGATGTAGCCATTAAGGTATAAACTTATTTGTTCTAATTCATTTATACATGTCATATGCTATAAATTCAAAATTTAAAATTTATAAATATATATATATATATCATCTTTTATACAATAAAAGAATATTAATGGAAGGTTAATTATATATAATTTGCTCCTTATCCATTAAAAATCATGAGGTGATTTGTTATTATTATTGAGGTGATTTGTTATTATTATTTTGGCCCGTAACATCTCACATGCTCAATATTCATGTCAGGTAGGCTGCCAAAGCCTTAAAACAATGATTTGGTGGAATTTGAGAAAACCCATGACATGAGTCTAGAGTTTTATTTAATATTTTTGTAAAAAAAAAAGAAGAGGGCGGGGTAAATCCTCTCTTTTCTAATAGTTTACATGAGTAAAGCACTACTAGAAAACTGACTTTTTGCTATCATATAACTTGCGACGCCCCGATTATCAGTCGCAAATAATTAACATATTCCTTATTTTCTTCTATTTATTTTTCCCTTTTCCTTATATTTGCCCTAGCCCTTCACAATGATCGTTCTCTTTCTCGCGCACGCTCTCTCTCAGTCTCTCTCTCAGTCTCACACATTGGTATGAATCACTCTCTCTTCTTTTGATCTCACTCTTTCTGTGTCCCTCAATCTCTTCTCTCTCTCATTGATGTTCTTCTCAATCTTGTGCTCTCTCTGTTTCTTATATTCTAAAAACACAATCAGCTTTTCCTGATTCTTTTGAATTCGATCATTGAAGGTATGCTCTCTCTCTCTCTCTCTCTCTCTCTCTCTCTCTCTCTCAAGTTTCTTTCCCTTCTTCTTCTTGTTTTCTGATTTGAATCTGCACCTAGGGTTTCGATCGAGTTCAAGGTACTCTCTCTCGGAAGTTCTCTCTGTTTCTATTTTCCTTTGTCTCTTGTCATTTTACAATTTGAATCTACTCCTAGGGTTTGGATCGACGGATGACCCTTGCAATATTCAAATTTTATGATTTCTATTATTCGATGAATGAAATTCAATTTTATTTTTTCCATTTTGCCTCTGTTTATCTACTCCATGTCTATCTTGTTCCTCTAGTTAGGAGCAAAATTAGCAAGTAAATGTTATAACAGAAATGTAAGGAATTCATCCACATTGTAACTTCAAAAATCATGAATTGAACCTAATATATATGCATATTTACATCTATATATTCATTGTAAAAAGTAACAAGTTAAGAACAACTTGTGTCATAGCTTGCATAGCAACACTAATTTGTACATGGCCAGAAGAGCAAATCCTATATTTATAAGTTTTTTTTTTTTGAAAAAGAAAATGCGCCCATAGTGAGAATAGAACATTGGTGGCAACAAAAGAGATAGAAACACCTCCTTTGATAATTCACTAGTGTAACTTCTTTGCCAAAGAAAAACAAAGGTCAATCTAGAGTATCCATTCTACACCTCCCCACTCTCCTCTCTGCTTGTTGTAGAAAAAGAAGCCCTGTAAATGCTACACTGTCATACCAAACACAATGAGATATGTAAACATCTATACTATATTGTAAATGAAATAGCCAAAAAGTAAAGTTGAGTAATGTTTTTTTTTTTTCTTTTCCAAGATTGTCCATTAAGTGATTTTTTTTAGCATTTAAATGAATTCTTCCATATTTTTTAAAGGGTAATGGTGTGAAATTGCTCACAACTTTCAAATTCAAAGGTGATTTCTAAAAATTTCATCTCTTTTTTGAGAGTAACACACACATTATTACTTGCATAGCTATTTGCGTGTGTCAAGAGGCTAGTGATTTGTAATTTAAGAGTAAATTAAAATTTTCAGCCCTTTAATTTGACTGAAATTTTACTTTTGATTTTTAGTATTTTAATTTAAAATTTGATCCTTATACTTAAAACTCTAGTTTTAATTTTGTTACTCCATCTAAAGTCCTGTTAATTTTGTGCATGTATACTCTCAAGAGGTTGACAAATATCAAAAAATCGTTAATTTTAATATCTAATTTGAACAAAAGGACCAAATTAAAATTAGACTTAAAAGTATAGTGACTAAATTATTTAATTTGAAACAATAGTTGGTCAAATTGAAAGAGTTAAAAGTGTCAAATATAGTTTGTATAACAAAAATGACAAAAAAACAACTTGAAATAGAAGAATGGAAAAGAAGATCATACCATTGACATTACCACTTTAATTCAAGACAGCTCAGTTGCTCCACCAAGTCCTTCACATAACAAACCCCAATCTGGTGGCTTGGCTATCAAATTCTTGGATTGGTGTTGAACCAACTCTGCTTCAACTTGAGCTGATCCATTCTCACAAATCACTCCATCCTCCAATAGTTTCTCCCACAAGATATAATCCTCATAGCTCAAATCCGGACTCATCGGTCCAGGAGATGCATTAATCTTTTGGTCCTCACTCGGACTACTTTCAACGTCCAACGAAGCAGAGAATAGTTTTTCCACTTCCGAATCATTTGTTGTCAACACCTCCTGATTCGAGAATGCCTTGGCCATGAATATCAGTATATGTTGTTGCTTATTCTCGGTGTTTCCTATTCGCTCCTTAACCGCAGCCAAGTAACTCTCTGTGTTCTCTTGTTGTAGTTTTAGTTTCATGATTTCCATTTTCATTTTCATCCTCTCATTCCTTAGTTTTTCAAGCTCAGTCTCGATTCCGAAATTGGCTGAATTGAGATAGGGTCTCATGACTCCTTGTTGCTGCACATTTTGGGGGTTATGTTTTCTCCTCTTTATGTTTTTCAACAAATGTTTTTTCCCTCCTTGAAACGCTTCATTGGCAAATTCCCATCCGTCTGAATCAATCCTCTTAAAACCCTTTTTACCAAAAAAAAAAAAAAAAAAAAAAAAAAATCTATTTATAGAACACATATAAGTTGCCACGTGGAGGTGAGTCTTATAAGTGAATTGTTACTTTAGTCCATAATTTTGTAATTTCAATTTCAATCTGCACTTTTAATTTTAATATTTTATTAAAATATGATCCTCTGGCACTTACCGTCATAATTCCCTCCCTCACTTTTACCATTAAAATAGAAAAAGACCATGCGTTAAAATTAGAACCACCAAAATGAAATTTAAAATAAACTATCTAGTTTTACACAAATTTTTTATTTTTTATTTTTTCAAAATGTTACCAACACTGGGACTACGTTGCAAAAGTGTAAGGAAAACAAATTTCTTTGGTGTAATTTACCCTTCAATAAATGCACAAATCCAACAAATAAAATTTGAAAAAAAAAAGGAAGGGTTCAATTAGCCATGAATCAAACAGAGACCTATAGAAATAGCTATCGCAACAAAACCCACAAAGAATAAACCGCAAATTTAGAAGATAAACACTCAAATTTCATAAATAGATCATAATTTTAATAGCAGAGAAGAGAAGAGTTTTTTTTTTGTTTTTAGTTTTTTTTTTTTTTTTTTTTTTTTGAACGAGAAGAGATTGGATTGGAAGAATATAGAGTACTTACATAAGTGTAAAGTTGGCAAATAAAGCTTGAGAAATTGTTGTGCTTGAAGTATTTGGGCAACAGATTGGTAGAGAACTGGCGATGATCCCAGACTACTAAGCTTTTTTGAGAGGCAGTCCATGAAATGATGATGTCAGTATCAGGGTCTTCCACCATGTGAAAGGTCTTCTTCAGAAATGGAGATGGTCCTGTTTCATGCAATCCCACCATGGGTTTTGGGGCTGATGAGATTGGTGGTGAACATGGCATGGAATCACCACCACCACCTCCTCCTCCTACTAGTACTACTCCTTCACCACTTACCCAATCATCATCAACCAATACCACTGCTTCTTCATTGAGTTCCACAACTTTCACTGTCTCCTCCTCCTCCTCCTCCTCCTCCTCCTCAAATAAACCTCCACCACCACCACCAGGTATGTCATCATCAATCACTACAATGTTCTCCTGCTTGATTTTTAGTGTTTCCATGAGAGACACAGAGAGTTTTGGATTAGTTTCCAAATGAGTTGATTGTTTCTAATGCAGTGACTCTCAGAAAGGAAAGAGAGAGAGAGAGTTGTCTGAACTGAGAATGGCCAACTGTCGAAATATGTGTTGCCATTTGTAGCTCCAACTTACATACAAATCCAGGCCCCTTTACTTCTGGAAATGTTGCCGATGTATAGTTTTAGCAATTTAATTGTTTTAGGTAAAATAATTATTACACTTGATTCGTGGCTAATTGAACCCACGAATCAAAAGGGTTCAATATAATCATGGCTAAAAAACTATTAATGAATCAAAGTAAAAAAAAGGGTTCAATTAAAAACTATTAATTGACTTTTTTTTATTCATTGAATCAAAAACAAAAAAGGGTTCAATTAGCCATGAATCAAAAGGGTTCAATTAGCCCATGTTTAAAATATTAACTTTCTAAAACTACCTTTTAACTTTTTTTAGGAAAATCAATTATCATAATTATACTTTTTATGTATAAATGTAAAAGAATGACAAAATAAGAGATTCCTATTATTTTACTCCTTAATTTTTAAAAGAGACTAATATTTGAGACAATAAAAAATTAAATAAGAAATTAATATTTTGAAACAGAATAAGTAATAAATTGTAACTACCATCCAATATGCCAAATCCATTGAATAACTTTCCTTTTTGTGAGATCAAGTTTCTTTTCTGGGTCCACACCGTTTATTCTACCTCCCACATGCTACTAGAGAAAATTTGGAGTCTTGAAACGCATCCTTCAACCATGTCCTAGTGCCACGAATGCAACACACTTTATCCTTTTTCGAATACACTAGTAACATATGTATATATTTTTTTTAGGTAATAAGGAAAGTTAGTAACGTATGTATATATATATATATAGTAGTAGTTTAAAAAGACCTGGGCAAGGTATAGGTAATTATTATAATATGTTTAAGTTTCATATTTTGATAATTTTTTAAAAATTAGAATATTATTTTATAAAAATGTATAGGATAAATCATTAAATATATGATAAAACTATGTAATATATCATTTTTTGATTTGTTATATATCTAATGATATAGACTCTAATTCTATTAACATATCATTTTAAGTGAATTTATGGGTCTTTAATATTTCTTCCGAATTTATAAAAAAGAAATTATGGTTGTGCCTTTTCTCAACAGATAAATATAAAATAAATACTAAGATAATTCACTGAACTAATAAAGAAATAAAAGAAAATTCATACAAATGATTAATTTTATTAATACATAAATCATACTCGCGTAATAAATAATCAATTTTATTATTAAGCAAATCATTAAATAATTAACAATTTATAATGATATGAAAAATATTATTCAGTTAACCATTTTGTTATATAAATAAATCATTAAGTCAATTAATAGTTTTTAATGATATAAGAAATATTTTTCAATAAATAATTTTGATAATTTATTATTGTATGGGAGAATATAACAAACGAGTAATTTCTAATATTATAGAACCAATTCATATTTTAAACAAACTTTGTGGGTATATTTGTAATTTGTTAAAAAAAATATATGTTTCATAATTGACCAAAAATATTTCTGTAATTACAAAAAACCTGTTTCATAATTGACCAAGAATGTTTGCATAATTATGGAAAAACCTGTTACATAATTGACCAATAATGTTTGCGTAATTATGAAGAAAAAAAATTAATTAATTAATTAAAAAATTCACTTAACATATAGGCCACTATTAGTAAATTATTCAAAATAAAAGGACGAAATTGAAAATAAAAGACAAACCTCAAGTACCTAGTTTGGAAAGGCCTGTGCAAGACACGGGCTATTATTACAGCATATTTAAATTTTATATTTTCATAAAAAAAATTTACATTGGAATATTGTTTTATAAAATTGAATAGAATAAATCATTATAGATATATGACAGAATCATGTGGTATGATATGTATTATTTTTTGATTGGTTATACACCTAATGATGTATTCCTTCCGAATTTGTAAAATAAAAAATTATGGTGTGTAGTTTTTCTCAACAGACAAATATAAAACAAATAGTAAGATAATTTTCACATCTAAAAAAAATTACTATGATAATTCACTGAACTAATAAAAAATCAGAAGAATATATGTAAGGCCCCGGTGTCCCACATCGGGAATGGAGGGGGAGTTCCTGGGCTATAAAAGTAAAAATCTGGACCCTTATATAGCATCGAGGCCTTTTCCCAAGTGGTGAAATCTCTATTAGAACTCCCCAGTTAAGCGTGCTTAGGCTGGAGTAGTTCTAGGATGGGTGACCCACTAGGAAGAACAAATCCGTGCGGGCGTGACCCAAAGCGGACAATATCGATGACGTGTAAAGGGTCGGGGCGTTACAAATGGTATCAGAGCCGACTCTCGGGAGTACCGAGTGTGGGCCCCTGGCGTCTCTCGGTGTATGTGGGCGGGCTTGCGAGCTGGCAGGCTACTGCACGGGGATGTGCAGCCTTATGGGGGGTGGATTGTAAGGCCCCGGTGTCCCACATCGGGAATGGAGGGGGAGTTCCTGGGCTATAAAAGTAAAAACCTGGACCCTTATATAGCATCGAGGCCTTTTCCCAAGTGGTGAAATCTCTATTAGAACTCCCCAGTTAAGCGTGCTTAGGCTGGAGTAGTTCTAGGATGGGTGACCCACTGGGAAGAACAAATCCGTGCGGGCGTGACCCAAAGCGGACAATATCGATGACGTGTAAAGGGTCGGGGCGTTACAATATATATATATATATATACAAATGACTAATTTTATTAACACATAAATTACACTCGCATAAAAATGACCATTTTTATTAATAAGTAAATTAACAATTTTTAATGGTATGAAAAGTATTTTCCGGTAAACCATTTTGTTAATAAATAAATAATTAACTCAAAACGGTTTTTTATGATATGAGAAATATTTTTCAATAAATAATTTTGATAATTTATTATTGTATGGGAGAATATAACAAACGAGTAATTTCTAATATTATAGAACTGATTCATATTTTAAACAAACTTTATGGGTATATTTGTAATTTGTTAAAAAAAATATATGTTTCATAATTGACCAAAAATATTTCTGTAATTACAAAAAAACCTGTTTCATAATTGACCAAGAATGTTTGCATAATTACGGAAAAACCTGTTACATAATTGACCAAGAATGTTTGCGTAATTATGAAGAAAAAAAATAATTAATTAATTAAAAAATTCACTTAACATATAGGCCACAATTAGTAAATTATTCAAAATAAAAGGGCGAAATTGAAAATAAAAGACAAACCTCAAGTACCTAGTTTGGAAAGGCCTGTGCAAGACACGGGCTATTATTACAGCATATTTAAATTTTATATTTTGATAAAAAAAATTACATTGGAATATTGTTTTATAAAATTGAATAGAATAAATCATTAGATATATGATAGAATCATGTGGTATGATATGTATTATTTTTTGATTTGTTATACACCTAATGATGTATTCCTTCCGAATTTGTAAAATAAAAAATTATGGTGTGTAATTTTTCTCAACAGACAAATATAAAACAAATAGTAAGATAATTTTCACATCTAAAAAAAATTACTATGATAATTCACTGAACTAATAAAAAATCAGAAGAATATATATATATATACAAATGACTAATTTTATTAATACATAAATTACACTCGCATAAAAATGACCATTTTTATTAATAAGTAAATTATTAAGTAAATTAACAATTTTTAATGGTATGAAAAGTATTTTCCGGTAAACCATTTTGTTAATAAATAAATAATTAACTCAAACGGTTTTTTATGATATGAGAAATATTTTTCAATAAATAATTTTGATAATTTATTATTGCATAGGAGAATAGTTTTCTTTTTTTTCCTTGAGTATTGTGTTAATTAAAATTTATAACAAATGATAGTTATAATTTCTAGTATTACAAGAACGATTCACATTTTAAACAAATCTTATAGGTGTATTCGTAATTTGTTAAAAAAATAAAAATATTAATGTTTCATAATTGACTATGAATGTTTGCGTAATTACGAAAAACCCTATTTGATAATTGACTAAGAATGTTTACGTAATTACGAAAAAGCTTGTTGCATAATTGACCAAGAATATTTGTATAATTATGAAAAAAATCTTCGTTCAACATATAGGCCACCATTAGTAAATTATTTAAAATGAAAGGGTAAAATCAGAAAGAAAATACGAACCTCAAGAAGCCTTTATAACAAACGGTAGTTGAAATTTCTAATATTATAAAACCAATTCATATTTTAAACAAACCGTATGAGTATATTTGTAATTTGTTAAAAAATAAAAAAAATTTATGTTTCATAATTGAAAAAGAATGTTTGCGTAAGAATGTTTATGTTTCATAATAAACGATTTATGTTTCATAATTACGAAAAAATATGTTTCATAATTGACCAAGAATATTTGCGTAATTATGAAAAAAAACTATATCATAATTGACCAATAATATTTTCATAATTACGAAAAAATCTTTACTCAACATATAACCCACCGTTAATAAATTATTCAAAATGAAAGGGCAAAATCAAAAAAAAAAAAACAAACAAACAAACAAACAAACTTCAAGTAGTTAAAAAGTTATATATATATATACTAGTTGAAAAAGGCCTGTGCAAGGCACGGGCTATTATTACAATATGTTTAAGTTTTGTATTTTGATAATTTTTTAAAAATTAAAATATTATTATATGAAATTGAATAAAATAAATTATTAGATATATGATAAAATTATGTCGTA